GCCATGCTGGCTGGGGAATTCTGGGAGTTGAAGTCCACTCATCTTAAAGTGGCCAAGTTTGGGCAACACTGATTTAGACTTTTGCCTAACATTCAACCAGAATCTGCCTCTTATAACTGAAGATCCTTTATTCTGTGTCCTGCCCTCTGGGCAAAGGGGTTCAAGGGAGGTCATATGATCAACAGTGTGACACTAAACTATCAGTTTAAATCTCTTTTGTATTGCAAGGTGATGCACGTATGAAAGAATCTCTGGTTTTTCCCATTTTCTCCCAGAGGGTACCCAGGAGACGGATGAAATACTCGTGTCAGAAGTATGAATCGCTTGCTTTCAGAGAGCCTGGGGGCCTCCAGGACATTGCAGGTCTCAGATTCATTTCACATTGTCATTTACTAGTGGGTCTGAGGTTGCGTGCTGCCTTACGGCAACAGACAGTTCCCTACTGATCCGTCAATTATGCGGTACTAGTTTAATTGTTATTCTACTTCCTTCAAGCCAACAGAGATTCCTCTTTTGAGAAGACATTAGTCCCATGTTCCAGATGCACTTTTTCGACCCGATTATGTTTGCAAAGCCATGCATTTAAACTGTACCACCATAACAAGAAATGAACGCACCTTGGTTTGTGCATCATTGAGGGCTTTGGCAGGCAACTGGCGAAGGCATGAGACAAGTTCAGCACTGCTGGTAGATGGGCAGCCCAGCTCGCGAGCCAAAACAGCAGCTTGTGCCCGTGCTTTCTCTTTGCTGAGTGTTACTGCAGGAGAGAAAGCAGATCCTCCCTAAAAAAAGAAAAAGGGGAAAAAATAAAGAGAACGAAGTTGGCTGTGGATCTGTTTACTTTCCTAGATGCATGCTTTTAAAAGACATTAAAAACCTAGAAAGGAAGGGGGGGGGGAAACACTCAAAGGAGTTCAGCAATTTTATTTCATTTCAACCACTGGCTAGAAGCATTAAAATATACACATATACCACAAATGCATTATTTTAGCAATTTCAGTGAAGTTAAAGCATGTCTTCATGTTTCAGTTCAGTATGTCAAACATCAAGGAACATGTCTACCAGGCATTTGTGTTCATGGCCAGCCAAAATTTGCATGCATATATGAATACTCATAATGCAATTCCCTTTCAGGGTAAACACAATTAGGCAGAGCCCAGAAAAGGAGTAAGAAATATTAAGGCAAAGAAATTAAAGGCCTGAGCTAAGAAAAAGAAAAGGAAACATAGTTAAACCTAGTTTACACCAACACCAGACCCTATACTTGTCCATATTTTTCTATCTTTGCAAACCATTTTTCTTCTGTCTCATCAATACACAGCTTCATAAATGCCTTTAAATGTCTCAGTTCTCTCTTTTTGAGACTCATCAGCTCCACCCAACCCTGATTTTCTCTCTCCTGCTCTCTTCCTTTACATTATTTCTTTCTTCATGACCAAAGTACTTCTACGCACTTCTTTTGTGCTGGTCTCTCACATTCATTCAACACCCCTTCGTTCTTGATCCTATCCCTCTTGGTTTACCTCGAACAAGTACCCTATTCTCACCGGATTCAGCTTTTATTCAACCCAACTCTCCTTTCCAGATTGTAGTTCTGGTTCATGCATCTCAGAAATGATAGCTGAGCTGGGCAAAGCCAACCCTAGAGAAGGTAATCCTTTCCATACATGCATAGAATATGCATTGGTAAAGTGAAAGAAACAAAAACCTGCCCTAGCACCACTAAGCTTAGTCACTTGTCTCCGTGGCACGCCAAGTCTAAGACTAGGCTGTAAGTCTACCCAGAGAGGATCTGTGTTGATTAAACGTACGCGCCGTCCTTATAAACTGAAAGCATGGCATGCATCGAATATATCATTCCATGCTTCAAATGCATTAGGTTAGCACTGTTTAAAATTGGAGATAAGACCACGTGCTGGGTCAACAATTGGAAAGGGAGACCCATTTTATCTGGAGTAGTCCCGAGTTAGTGTTTCATCATGTTTTAATCGCATTGTCTGCAAAGGTGATATTTGCAAAACAGTAGCAACCTCTTAATGTTGGTTTGCATTATGCTTCTCCTTTTCTTCTTGCTCTTAACTGACTTCCCCATTTCCGTAGCTAGAATTTTTTAATTTCATAGGAATGACATCTTCATCTTAGACAAATACTATTTAGTCAACTTCAAAGGGACTTCTGTTTGCATGAAAGAAAATGAAATATAACCAAATATATCAGCTTTAGAATAGCAAGGCTAGATGAGCAAAACCCCTAGTTTCACAAATGATTAAATCTAAGTTTGGAACATGGGTTAGCACAAAAGGTTACTGAAATCTTATTTTTTAAAGAATCACTCCCTTTCCATCCAACCCCCCCCCCCCTTAAGCCATGCACAGAAATATGATTGGCTTTACTTGGCACATCTCTTTTTCACTGACACCTTGAGTAAGAAGCTTAAAGATTTTATTGTGCATAACACAGCTATTGCTAGATGCAATCTGGAGAAAGATGGATATGTTCAGAAGCTGCTTGACACATAGTTTGCTCAATAACTCTCAAGTTTAACAAATCCAGCTCCGGGGGGAAAAACATTTTGAGAGGTAGAATTTTGAAAAACAAGGCTGAAGGTTGAACTGAACCCTGATTCCTGAGTAGGCATCTACACAAAATAGCTCTGTCTGGGTATGGGTCTTCTGCCCAATAAAATAGGATGCTCTCCTCACCCCAGAGCAAATTCAGAATGTTTGCTTCAGGGCTCATTGTGCTAAAGCATGCACTCTCTGATTATTTCTAGCAGCAAATTTGCAACATCCTCACTGTTGTGAACATTCTTCTGGTTTCTGTATTATGGGCGACTTCCTCCATCTACATGGTCTCCGGGAAAGTCTTGTGCTTTGCATTTACATTTAAGAGTTTGCTACCTAAAGTCCACTTCTGAGCAATAAGAAATCTGGAAGCACCAGTTTTACCCAAGATCTAGTTCCTGTGCAAAGAGGTTGTATAGGCTGATGTGATCTGGGGTAACAAGGTTGATCATCCAAACACACAAAGGCTGAGCTAAAGAAGGAAATGTGCAGCATTAGCAGTCCAAAAGATTTCTGTTCCCCTACAGAAGAACAGAAGTGAGTTCTTCAAGGACTCATTGTACTACAGCCCTTCCACACAGTGAGCTGAGTCAGTTCTCTTCAGATCCAGTTCCCAGCACAAAGTGTCTTCTTGCTTACTCAGCCCTTGGAGAGTGGAGAAAAACAAATCTCTACTCGTCACCTAGACTTTCTCTGGTGCAAATGCCTTCAAGAAGGCTAGTCTGTAACAAGCAGGTCAGTTCCAAGAAATCTCTCCTATTGGTTGTCACTTACCTTATTTCAATTGATGGAAGCACTTTGGGTACAGCCCCTGGAGAAAATCTGAATTTTGCATAGTGCAAATCAGCAAAAATCGCATTCACTTTATCATCTGAGACAGTTTGTTAGTACAGTACTGCAGTGTTTTTTATATATATATACATATTATTTGCAAACTTGTGGAAAGTTTTGCAACAGTACACAGCTCCCAAGATCTCAACGCACAAGACCTTTCTGCACATCTTCCCCTAATCCATTTAACTCTTCATGGACATCACTCTGCTTTTATTCTTTGACATATAAATGTCCCAGAATGCAGACTTTTAAAATCCAAATTCCCCAATGCACATTTTAAAAAACGTAATTATTGGTATTTATGAGCATTGTTAGAAGCTCACTATCTTTAAAAAACTGGAAGAGGTGGATTTTTGATTTGAAAAACTTGAAAACTAGCGGGAGCTCAGTTGATGCTACCGTACTGTTTATGCTGCTATACGTCCACTAGGAGTGAAACACTTCAAATTCTCTCCAGACTGAATCCATATTGGAGTTCTTCTACATCCCTGATTTTGGATAAATAATTTGAACTAAGACAATATCAGTCAGGTTCTACAGAACAGGGTACGGAATTTGATATCTCCCAAATGTTTCAGACTACAACCCCCACAATTTTTTAACCTTCTGGCTAGGACTGTTTAGAATGTGGACAGCCCATAGTTGCCTACTCATAATACACAATGAGAGTAGATTGGGGAGATGCTTCATCGTTACCCCTGGAAGTTGATGGCTTCTTCTGTGACTTGACCACTTCCTCAACCTAACAGAACATGAGCATCATTCTTACGTTTCTGAAAATGCATTGCCCCATAGAAAGGAAGCTGTTTTGGATACTGCCCCAACATTAACCCTTACCTACAGACCCAATATCCATATACTCAAGTTTATGAATGATGCAACTGCACACACAGATCAATTAATCAATGTTGAAGGAACTGTGCTAGTGTAGAACAATGGGCTTCCCTGTCATCTTACTTGGAGTTCCCTGTACTGCTGGCGTCATGTTCCTTCCATCATATTTACTTCACCGCCCATTTTAATCCCTTGCATAACTGAGAAATTTCTTTACTATCCTCCAGAAGAGCTCAAAGTAAGTCAAAACCAGACAAATATTTATGGCATAGAGACCTAAATGTTAGATGTTGTAAGTGAAGAATATATACTTCTCAGTTAAATATATACAGCTCTTCTATCATCTGGAGAGCCAGATATCTCAACAACCTGCTTTCCTTCTACTCATCCTAAATCCTACCACACAAGGGGAAATACAACATCAGCTGTTAGATACCCCCTCCACATTCTCCCAGTTCCTGCAACTTGGTGGTGGTGCAACCCTATCCCACCGCAAATCCAACTACTTTACAAATGCCAGAAACACAACACTTTTTCTTCTTGCCTAGCTCTGCACTGGGAAAAATGCACATATGGGTGCAAGTCTCCTGCCCTTTCATCAAGGATGGGAAAGGCTGATTCCCCACTGCATCCCACTGAGCTTTCTTTTCTGGAAACGAATACCACCAAACTTAGTGGGACTTACAAACATGGATAAGGTTTAGCCCACAGTTGGGCAATGCAGAACCTGGGATAACATGTTGCAAACCAATCTTCTTTTCTCCTAGCTCCTAGCACCTTTCTCCACAAAGTTGCACTGCAAAAATTCAGGAACAATCCAACAACACCCCCAAATGCAACAACCCACAATTTTCCTCAGGAGACTAAAGCAAATGGGTGCATTCATCCTCCAAGACGTGTTAGGAGGGCCTAAAAACTCCCAATCTGTGCCTCTCTTCAGTGAAAAAAATGTATAGAAAGTCCTAGTGCTTCGTTAGTTAGTTAGTTAGTTAGTTAGTCTGACTGATTGATTGATTGATTTTGAGGGCACCCAATTCCTCAATAACTCTAGGTAGCTTCCAATTAATACTACATGAGACTATTCACTGCCAGTGTGGTCATCTCAGAGAAAAGAACAAATTTGTCACAATATGTTTTAGGATAATTACTAATTCCAGCCCCTTCCCAAAATAAATAGGCAGATTATACAGAAAGGATCTATATAGGAATATATAGATATAGATATATGGAAAACAGGACCACCCTCAAAGAACAGCACATGCAAGTAAGGAGAACAGAAAGAGTGTCAGGAGATCTAAAGCTCAGATCTGGCTGATGTTGGCAAAAGTTACTAAGAACAACCCAAAGGGCTTCTTTAGGTATGTTCAAAACAAAAGGAAAAAAATCAGTACAGTAGCTGCTCAAAGATGATGGCGGAGAATGGTAATCGGTAACAACAAAAAGACAGAAATACTCTTTTAGTTCCATCTTCTCCATCAGAAAATGTGCCTCTCACCAAACAAGTGTGAACAAGCAGGACTGAAGCTTGAAACTGATAGAAACAAGGGCAGGGAATGCCTATTTACTTTGAATGAGTTTAAATCTCAAATGAATTGCCTGCAATGATACTGAAGGAACTTATTGATGATCTGGCTGACCATTTATCTTGGAGAAATCACAATAAGTGAGCTAGCTACCAGATGACTGGAGGGAGGAATGTTGTCCTTTTTTCAAAAAAGGAAATGAATGATCTGGGGGAATACAAACTAGTCCGTCTGACATCAATACTTGAGAAGATTCTAGAGAAGATCAGGATGATCAGGGACTAGGAACTAAGTCCTATGAAGAGAGTTCAAAAGAACTGGGCATATTTCACATGAGCCAATAATGTGATGCAGATGCTAAGAAGGCAAATGCTAATTTTGGACATATTAACAGGAACATAAAGTACAGATTATGAGAAGGAAGTGTCCCATTTTACTCTGCCATGGTCAGGCCCACTTAGAATATCATGTCAAATTCTTGGCTCTGCAGCCTAAAAAGGACACCAACCTGGAGAAAATTCAGAGAAAGGCTACCAAAATGTGAAGAGGCTGGAAACCAAATCATATGAGAAATGCTTAAAGAAAGTGGGTTTACTGTATTCAGCCTGCAGAAAAGGACATTGAAGTGAGATATGATAACAATCTTCAGATAACTGAAGGGTTATAATTTAGAGGGAGAAGTGGACTTGTTCTCTGTTGTCCTGGAGGGCAGGACCAGAACCAGCAGATTGAAACTACAGAACAGTAGATTCCTATTAGATATTAGGAGAAATTTCCTGATGATAAGAGCTGTCAACAGTTGAATAGGTTGCTTCATAAAGTTGTGTGTTCCTCTTCACTGGAAGCCTTCAACCAGAGGCCTAGAAAACCATCTGCTGAAATGTTTAAGCACATCCAGAATCAGAAAGACTGAGGCAGGATATGATGGCATTTTTCCAGTGTCTTGGAGAAAGTCACACAGAAGGTCCAGAATTTCTCGTTCTCTTACCAGAGTACAGGACATGGAATAATGGACTTCTGTGACATAAAGGCAGAGTTTGAGTTAGGGGGAAAAAATCCTAATAATAAGAGCAGTTTGACAGGGGCTCCAGATACCAAGGGAGGTGATGACCTCTCTTTCATTGGGTGTATTCAGATGGGTGCTCAATGCTTTAAATTAAATAAAGTACTGAGCAGGGAACTGAACTCAGTTCACCTAAAGAGCAAATTCTAACCCTATGAGTCTATGGGGAGGGGCCTAAGCAGCTTTATGGACCTTTTGGAGCAGAGAAATATTGAGTGAGGAAAGGACTAAACATACACACTCAATATTCTCCATTCCCCCCAAATTTTTTAAAGACTTCTCTCCCCTTTTGGGTGCCCTGTAACGTGCTATCTTGTCATATCCCATTAGTCTAGCTTTCTACAATTGGGCAACCTTCTAACATAGGAACTACAATTCCCGTTACTTCCAATCAGCAGCCCCCTAGTCATGCTGGTTGGCAGCTGACCCAGCAGAGTTGAGTCAGTTCTCTTAGCCAAAAAGTTATCTACGTTTTTCATAATCTCTAAATTTCTTGTAAAATGATTTCTAAAGAACGGACAGTTGTCAGGCCTGGAGCAGAAGAAGACTTTTGAATCTATACTGAGGAGAGTTCTAGGGCAGAGAGTGCACTACAAGGCACCTATGATGTTAAAAAATTGGGGTTAGCTTCTACCATCTGAGTTTTAGTCTCAGTTGTCCATGTCTGCCTGACTTCTTCTCCTGAGTCTTTTGGGTTCAAGTGCTTGTCCCACACCACTTACCCTGTGAGCACTTGGATCTGCTTTTCACTTAGCATCCTGATGCAGCCTGCCACACTGAGTTAGCAAGTGGAAACCAACCAACTTTATAAATATATCAGCAATATAAACAAGTGAGGGCCATATGTGGTTCATCCTATAAGAAGAGGTGCCTGCACGGAAAGGCTCAGTACTTTGCTTTTCTCACAGCCGCATCTGTCACTCACCGCACAGTCACCCAAAAGTACGTGAAATGACCTCATCAACAGTCCTACCCTCCTCCGAAACCACCTCCTCCTTAGCCATCCTCCTCAACTGCGAGCAACAGGAACCACATCTTTTGCAAGAACACCGAAGCCTTCCTTATTTCTAAGAGGAAGTATGTGGTTTGTTTAACCAGTGCTGTGCTAAAAGATAGGCTGAGCTTCCCCAAAGCCTTATTTTTGGGTCAGCTGTCATCAGATCTGGAGCTGCAGTTCTTTCTAGCCTTTTCACACTGTTGGACAGTTGGATCTCAGGGGTAAAGAGAGCAAGAGAAAAATTGAAAAGAAGACACAATGGTTGGCATCTGAAGGCAAGGTAAGGATCAATCTTATCCATCTCCAGGTAGACAGATTCCCCCTCTGCTCAGCAACACAAGGGCCCCTTGCTCAGTCCAAGGAAGCTGGAAAGGATTTATCTCTAAAAAGAGTTCAGGCCTTAAGTAATCCTTTAGGGTCATGCGTACATTTATGGATCTGACCTGCATCTGTAGTTGGTTCTGCTCATCCAAAGCAGCCAGAGATGCAGGAATGTGCTTTTTCATCCAAGCGGATTCCACAGGCGAAGGGGACAGAATTCTGCTCCGTCCCAACAGTTCAAATATGTCCTTTCTTGTACCTGGGCTAAAGGAAAAGTGTTTGCAACAATAGAGAACAGAAAAGTAAGGCACCTACCTCCGTGCCTGTTTTCACTGTGAACACAAAGAGATTGGCATCTCCGGGTACTTGCCAACATCCACACTTCTATGGGAAGGCCATTTGTAACCACAGAAGCCTCCCGGACCAGCTGTTCCTCTTCTGACTGCTAGTATCTGTTTACCTGTCCTCCTTGAACAAGCAGGCAGTGGCCATAGAGGAGAAATGGAAGCACACTGTCACCTTGCCTTCCATCGGGAGGTGATGAGATTGGATTCAGAGGACAAGTGGTCTGTACTTATGGAAGCACCCCTGGGGAAACTTCACTTGGAAGAGTGGCATTTTCTTTTTAAACAAAATAAATAAAGAGGCAGTGGTAGAAATAGTAAAGAGAGAGTGGGCTTGCTTGGAGGAAGAGAGGGTGTGTGGAATCCTAAAGGCAACATTCAAAGGCCTACCCAAATATGCTGTAAACAGTTGACCTGTAAGTTTATTGAGAGTCAGTTTGATGTAGTGGTTAAGGCATCAGGCAAGAAACTGGGAATCCATGAGTTCTAGTCCTACCTTAGGCACCAAGCCAATTGGCTGATCTTGGGCCAGTCACTTTCTCTCAGCCCTAGGAAGAAGGAGGCCAGGGTAAACCACTACTGAAACCTTGCCAAGAAAACTGCAGGGACTTGTCCAGGCAGTTGCCAGGAGTCAATAATGACTCGAAGGCAACCCCCAAAAGAAATGTCTATTGCGTATGGACGGTGTGGAAAATGGATTGCAAATATGGTTGTCTGTCTCAGGCTCAATTTGGCCCTAAGTCAGGGCAGAAAATTTTGGGGGTGGATTGACAAGGAGGGGGCGGCTTGTTTTTCAGAGAGGCAGAAGGCAACACACACACACACACACACACACACTTTTCTTTTTCTTCACATTACCTTTTATCAATTTTTAAAATTCTTGTGGAAAAACAACAGCAGCAATCTCTGCCTAACCTGCTTATCAGAAGCAAAATGGGGGTGAAGTTTGCACATATCATGAGCCTCCAAATTCTCTTGAATTGCCTTCAACACTGTCTTCGGGTTAATTCGGGAACAATTGTGGGAGTTGACTGACACTGCAGGAAATAATGAACCCAAACTTTACAAACGAATTACCAGTGTCAGAATTGACTCAAATGTAATTTAACACTTATATGTGTGCGAGAGCAGGAAAACACACACGAACAGAAAAGTGAGTGTGTTCGTTTCCTTTTCAGAACTAAATTAAGAAACCCTTCAATAAATGTGCTAAACCAAATAAACACAAACATCTCCTAGCAAGGCCACATGAGCCCAAGATTCCGGAATGAAAGACATTAAAGGCAATTTCATGTCACAGTCTTGACCTTTAGAAGTTTACTTTTTCCCCCCCCCCCCCATTTCCCCAGGAAAAAGAGGTCAGTATTAAACCTCTCTTCTTTACTGCAACATAATTTGGATTACCCCTGCATAGAGTTTTAAAATATGGGAGGAGAAGAGGTAGAGAAGACAAATTTAACAAACTCGTTTGTGTAGAAGTACAGCTCTCTCGGGAACTTATGTGATTTTTAAATATCTGGGCTTTGGAGAAGCATGTCTGGTTCCTGCTGAAATCTCCTGCAGGATTCTAGGGACTTCACCTACTTCATGGATTTCCCAGAGATCATAGAGTTGGAAGAAGGCATTTCAGTGATCAAGTTCAATTCCCTGCTGAATGTAGAACTCCAAATTAATACATCTCCAATAAATGCTTATCCAGTCTTGGCTTGAAAATGGCCAGCAAAGGGAATTCATCTATTCCTTAAATAATTGATTTCCACCCGCTCTTATTGTTAATTCCCCCCCCCCCATCATTCCACCAGAATCTGCCTTCTTGTAACAAGACCAATATTCCATCTCCAAACTGGGGATTTGACCTTCTTCAGGGGTCCCACAGCAGACATCTCTCCTGGATGCATTATACAGGTGCCCTACGTACATGAGCAGTTAGATGGGTCTTGTTCAAAAACAGAATTTTTCAAAAGTTGACATATGGAGAATGCATTCATCCTTATTTAGGTCACTGTAACATCACAATTGCCTTGTAAACCTGAACCCTCCCGTGTGTACGTGCGTGTGTGTGTGTGTGTAGATAGATACTGGACCATAAACTTTATATCTATCCTACAAAATTATGAATACAGTATTCATATGCCAAGTTTGAAAAAAATTATCTTCAAAATCTGATGTTCCATGCCATCATCAGTGGACGACATAGTTTCATACAACAGTTCTTTGTTGCCACCATTGTGATAGCTTGACAAAAGTTGTGAGAATTTCAACAAATATATGCATGTTTATGCAAAGTGTCAAATACTAAAAAAATGCAAAGTTTGTATATACTTTCCTCATCTTTCCAGACGTCGCTATCTTTGTGTTGACAAGAGCACTTTTGGACTTGAACTTTTCATATTTGCTTTACCTAGTTCTGAAAAAAGCACTTGGAAGGAAGCCAAGAGAAGAACAATGGGGAATGTTGTCAAAACACTGAAAACTGCACCTGAAGTGAAGAGTACATCTTGGCAATCAGGTAGGTGTTTTTTAAAAAAAAACTACGATTCAGGACGTAGGAGGGGAAGGAAAAGTACAGAAATCGAATGATAACTAGACATATATGTTCTTGTGGACAACCAGTCCACAAGTTCACATGAGATCATAGTTGGCATCAGTGCTTGGCAGTGCACCAAATGTTGGGGTTCTAGTAGTCCCGTTTCTGGCCTCTGCCCCAATGTCCTCTTCAGTTGGTGTTTCAGACTGTTATGTGATAGGCAGCTGAGCAAGGAAGCTGTCATTTTAATTCTGCACCATTCCTTTCTGCACAGTCCCCTCTTTCTGCCAGACAAGCCCATATTTATGTTGAGTTGCTGGAATTTGGGTTCCTCTTCTGAGAAATTGCTTCCTTCTTATACTGGGGAAGAAGGAAAGAAGACCAAGAACTCTCTCTTCTTCTTCCATCTTACTCAACTGCTTGCATGTCATATTCCACCAACTTGCCTGCCTATAATTCTTTTGACTTGTATCTACCAGGCTTAAATTTCTACCTACAACCAACTTCATGATTTCCCTGTATATCTCTGATCCACCAGATCCCAACAGTTTTGAAACAATTTACCCCAAAAACTTCCTTTTCCAAGACTATCCCTAGGAAATCTCTGCACTAGCCCCTGAAGTTTAGTTCACCTGTACCCTTTGTGATAGCCCATTTAGTGACTTCAGTGTTTCTTCATTTAAGTATCTCCATTTTATATTTCATTTAATTGTATATTATTGTTTTCTTTCAAAAAAAATATTGCTAGCTATGTTAAGCATTCAGTTGAAAGGAAAGGAAGACCATCAAAATGAATAAATGGATAGATTAATGAGTAATAAGATGCTGTTTTAGAAGGCTGTTTTTACTTTTTGACTGAAATCGTCAGGAGGCAGAAAATGGAGTCAGACTAAAAGAGAACCCAATTTAAGTTTGTTCTTTCCAGTTTTTACATTAGGGTTTTTTTTTTTAACTTTGTGAAAATTCATATATCTTTGTGTGCATCTTTCCCCAAATGTAAGCATATCTGAAAGCAATTTTGTCTCCTACTGTATACTTGAGCACTTTCTACTACTGTACACATTTATGTACACAGTTTCCCCTAAATTAAGGATTTGATATTCAATTTTTAACTGTAAATTGTAATTAAAACATACAAAAATGCTGTTTTCAGCAAACAACTCCTCCAGTTTGCATAAAGAAGTTGTAAATTTCTTGGAATGAATTATGGGGCCCACTAAGTTTTCCCTCCTCACCAATTTTCAACTAGTTAGAGCTACATCTACTTTGTATCTTCATTGCATCTATTGGTCAGTCAATCATTTTATGTTCTAAAGCTAAGTCTTTTTAATTTTTTAACTTTTTTTCAGCATTTAAGTCTGATAATACTTGATAAGACTATTAGAGATTGTTCTTTTAAAATATGTCTTCAGTCAAAAGAACAAATATCTTTTCTTTTTATTATTTCTAATGAGATGATCAGATCCAGTTTGTACTTAGGCCGTGTCTTTCTTGACTGCTTAACTATTTAAGGACAGAGCCATATTTTCCTTCCTGTCTTTCCTATATCTTCCCCATACGCATCTTATCCATGTAACATATTGTTAGAGTTGTAGTTGTAGCTATTCTACTTATAGTACAAACAGATTGATTTATGAGATTCTACATGAGACCGCACATCTTTATGGTAGCGGGACAAAACGGTACTCTCCTTTTCCACAAGCTTCTATCATCATGGATACGGTGCATGACCATAGCTTATTTTTCTTGGCAATTTTCTTTCAACATGTTACACCTTTCAGATCACCTCTTCTCCCTTTTACCCTTATCAGTTTTCTTGTTTCAGTCTAGTACAAATATGCTAATAGCCAATTCAATTCTCTGACAGATGACTCCTATGTATATGCAAAACAGATTCATCAGAAGTCTTCAAGAAACCCTGAAGTCTGAGCAAAATACTATTTATAGGGAAAATATTAAGTGGGTAACTCAAGAGAGGTGAACAAAGACTGAGCAATTTTAGCAGCTGCAGAGAGCTGAGCATTTATTCCCTTAGACGTACTCCCTGAGAAGGGGTGAGAGAAGTAGAATCTCTTTGAAAGGAGTATAACTGGCTTGAACCATGAATCGATGCCAGCTATACTATCACCTACAGATAAAGCATTACTTTCTGGCCCTTAAATGGGGTGGGGGCAGGGAGGAATAACATCTTTTCTAGATCTCCAGGAGACAGCCAAATGTCCCTGAGTAATCTACAAGCAGGACAATTCCTGCTGTTGTTCCTCAGGATCTACTGGAAGGATCTGATTGCCATACATAGAAACCAAGATGGTTTAGAATTGTGAGTGGCTGAACTTCCCCAGGCATGGCAGGTGGATAAGTGGAGACACTGGAGGGCAAGTTGAAGTCAATCTATGTAGGAGCTCAACACAGGCTCAGCACTCTGCAGAGTAATAAAACTCCATAAAATGTTTTATGTGAAGCCAAGCTAGCACCAGCTTTGCAGTTTAGACCTCCTGCTACCCTTCATATGTCATCTGTAACAATCTCTGGTACAATGGACAATATTTATCCTGACATTTAGCCCTGGAGGCCCATCTTCCCCAACCTAACCAACTAATAAATGTTTGTGATGCCAAGAGCCGTACTCCAAACCTTCTGCTTGCCAAATTCTCATTGTACTTCTGAGGCAGGATAGGCCCCATATATGGACCGCTTGATCTCCATCTGCTCTGCTGCAAGCTAAGCTGAGAGCTTTCCTTCTCAGATTTTTTCAGCAAGAACAAGCACGAAATCCAAAGTTCTGTAAGCAAAGCACTGAGATACAATCATTCTGCCCGATCTTAATTCTTTTCCCACCTTAAATATGCAAAAGGAAGTAAATGCTGTAATTTTAATTTTCCTCCTTATGATAAGAGTGCCCTTGTTTTTTTGCATTAATAATAGTGGCTGAAGTCAAGCCAAGAGGGACTTGACCTAACAGCCTAACTGAACAGGAAGATGACCTTGATTTTTCTGCCTTCTTGTGGTTTTTCATTTTCCATGGCACCATTTTAAAATCTAAATTTAATCTTGTATCCTTAACAAGATAACAGTGTGCTAATAAAATCAGCTTGCTATCTTGTGATTGGAACATAACGGCCCAAGACAATGTTCTCTACAAATGCAGTCTCTTTTAATCAACTTAATGATATTTACTGTTCTAAGCAGTTGCTATGGAACAAGGACACAACAGAATGCATTCACTTCTGTTATATGGTCCATTTTCTGGATTCTCCCAGTACACTGGACCATAAGCTAGCCAAATGGCTGGGTGCCACAACAGATTAAGCCAAGTGCACATTAAACAAGGTTAAAACTAACAAAGTCTAGCATGTTGTGAAAATGCGTCCCCCTGTTTTGCATAAGCACCTTGTGCAAAAACAGTTAGTATAGCATGAAAATTAAGAAATACGTAGGCGAAATACGTTCTTCTATTGTTTCTCTTGCACTTCAGCTATAGCATTCTAGCACCGCTTAACGTCTTACCTCTAAATAAAGTGCTTATGCAGGCCTATGACCGTAATATAGATTTGATCGATTGATTGATTGATTGATTGATTGAAATAAAGTGTTAAAATGGGTGTTTACAACACTCTATTAGGTCTTTTAGTGGACCCAATGGGATGGCCTCCTTCAGTCCAAAGGAAACTTGGAAATTAGCACTATTCAATGGACATAGTTAATTCAAGACTTCAAGACAATGTGTCAGTCCCTATCTTATATTTCCTTGATTGATTTATACCCTGCTGTACTCAGTACTTAAAGCGGTTAACAAAATTTCAAAACAAGAACAGAATATAATATGTTAAAAATGAGTAAATAGAAAAAAGCAGTAATGCTGATGCAATCCACAGAATCTACCCCAAAAATACGTGTGGTAGTTTATTTTGCATGTTCTGTAGTTTTTAACTGTAACAGGTCCTGGGCGTAATTAATCAATTACAGCAATTTTACCTAATCTTTTATTTTTCAACCCAACGTCCCTTTACAAAATCTTTTCCGGCCTAGCACCACCTCAGGCTAGGTACAGGCCAACACTTCCTATTAGCAGTCAAAATATGAGTAATATCTGACATAAGAGGAATTTTCACTGATTATTACTGATTATTTTTATCACGCCTTTTTATTGCACTTAGGTTACACATTCAATTATTAGTACGCTTTATTAACACACATCGTTATAGCGAAGTAAGGAAAATAAGATTTATTGCAAAACATTAGTGTACTTGATGTGGTAATCATACTAGCCTAATTAGAAGCAGCCAGAAATCACGGGATTTATCTCCATATGGTGTGTAAGTTTATAAATTTATTTATTTACATATCAAATTTGTCACCACCCATCTGGTTGAAATGACTCTGGGTGGTTTACAAAACGGTTAAAATCAATTCAAAATTACAACATGCAATAATCTTAAATAAAGAGAAAATAAATAGATCCAAGGATAGAGATAAAATTGGCAGTCCTAATAAATGTGGTTTATCTCTAGGTGTCTTTTAGCCACTGATAGACACATAAACCACATTTACACCCCATTCAAAAGAGACAATAAAAAAGCTAAGAAGGAAACAAAAAGACCAGAACACATCATCTCCAGCAGCCCACACCCAGATAAGCAGGGATTAACACCAGGCAAACAATCAAGCAGAAAATCAACTACCAAGGGAACCCCCCCCCCCTCTCCAACACAGGCTGGGCAAGCTACTATAGATAAACGGGGGCAAACCCCACACTCACTAGCACTGATGATGCTACATAGGGTAATGAAATGTCTGCAAGCAAACAACCAAGCTCAGAGAGCACCAAGGACTCCATGATACCACATCATGCAGAAGATGCCAAAGGGGAGGCAGAAACTTTTTTCACTTTCTCCTAAGATTAGACCTCAGACTCACTGGCTGAAGCCAAACACAGGGTGCATGATCGACTGAAGGAAAAACTTTCTTTACTCAAAATAAACTAAGGGATGGGTTGCCACCAGCTATAGTGAAGGGAATCACTTTGGATGGCTGTCAAAGTGGACTAGAAAATGTTATGGAGGGTAGGCTATCAGTGGCTGTGGCTTCAATGGAAGTTTAGCCCTCCATGAATACTAGCTGCTGGGAGATCACAGTTGAAAAGGATGATCTCCTCCAACCCTTCCTTGTGAGGTGCTTGAATGCGTCTGGGTAGCTATCAAATCTCACAGAATATCGGACTAGATGCCTCCTAACATCCCACACTTCAGGGATCTTCTTATGCTCTTATTTTGTAGAACATGTTAATCAGACTCAAGCAACCACACTTTGCATTGCATTAATTGATTGATTGACTGACTGACCGACTGACTGACTGATTGATCAATTCTGCAGGTCACAGAAGTGATTTTCTTGCTGTTCTTTATGACTATCCTACACCGGATATAAGCCAGCCTGTATTTCAAGTTGGGGAGAAACTACGTGTGATATCAGAGTAAGTATGCATCTTTTTTTTTTTAAGGCTTTAAAACATTTGTGTTGCCGTTTGCTATTCTTCTTTTATGATTCTGACTATGTTGCATTATGTTATATATTTTTAGAGCAGATGTTATCTTTGGAGGAATAGATTTCTAACTGTTTGAGGCTTTCAGCTCCATCTATCTATCCCCGCCAAGAACATGTGGGAAAAATCCTCCCCCCTCAACTCCAGTAAATGATGTTAAGAATTTTGTAAATGCAATTTTAATATTCTTCCATATCATTTTTAGTATTCTACAACCACCCCACTTTTGTTATTTGCAAACCTAACAAATAATTTTAAAAGGCTATTTTTCTGAACCCAAGAATTACTGCAGCATAATTTCTCATATAATTTAGTAGGAGTTTAGAGAGGTGGGAGAGAGTCAATAACTTTTGTTGTGAGAAGTTGTCACAAAATTGCTTCCCTATTTTATCTCTGGATGGTTGGTGGGGACGTGGCAGAGATGGACAAATTAGGCCTGGATTTAGTTGCCCCCTTGAAATCAGTAAGACAATTACTAACAGTAATTTCAGTAGGTCTACTCTAAATCTGGACCTGTATTTCAGGACTCTTTTTTTTTGCCATTACTACAGTTCTTAGTGAACAGCCTCTAATGAGCTTCCATGGAATCAAAAAGTTGCCAGTACCTCAATATTCATCAGTGACCCAGTTCTCCCTGTGAAAACAGTAATTTTAGATGGCTAGCTGCCATTCGATTCTCCCAAATCGTGCCAAATGTAGGGTCATTGAGCTGAAGTCCTCTCCACGCAATCTCAAATCAACAGATAACTCTATAGGCATGAGATGTCCTGTCTCCACTGCCAATTCCCATCCTGATTTTACTGCCTCTGTTTCAAATCTCAGTACTCCCAAGATTTCCCTCCAAGATGATGATGAAGATGATGATAATGATACTTGTAACAGCTTATATCCCACGACAATACCTTTAACACCATTAAACATCTGCCTATCCCAGTTCCTTGGGAAGGACTCAATAGGTGGATAAAAATGCCAAATCCAGTCTAAACATCTAGCTGACTATGTGGCCAACAATAATAATAATAATAACAACATATTAGATTTGACACAACTGCAGATGCCCTTGGATGATGTCAGAATAAATGTATAGTTTATGTTAATGTGTAGCTTTAACACCAGAACACCTAAGCCTGCACCACAGGCTGAGAACAAGATGAAGGCAGAATTGTGGCGACACTGCAGAAAAGAAGAGGTTGCCAGGACACATTTGTGTCATGATTAAGTGCAAGTGAGGAAAAACCTTTTGTCTCTCATCGTGGAAAATTAACAGAGCAACCCCCAGCCAATATGGTTGGCTGGAGCATTTCTGTTGCCTGCCATTCCTGCTACATGAATCTATTATGGTCCAGCAGAAGACCTTTTGCCAAAAGCCATTTCAGAGATAAGCCTTCCTAGAATCCATGTATATTCCACAGAAGCCACCTGCAGGAGACACCTGGAGCATGAAGAATTGATGGGAACAGAAAAGGGGCCCAAATAATTCCCAGGTGTACAAAAAAGGAACTAAATCATACATTTTATGGAAAGCCCATAGAGATCCCCTGGGTTCTAGATTACTGGATCAGGAAGGAAAATGTCTTCTTTCCTAACACCACAAATGGCAATTAGTATAGGTGATTT